GGGGGTAGGGCTAGGGTTCGCATGTGGTCCCCTTTGAGTGCAAGCACTATTGCGAAGGCCTTGCGGCCGGTGCCGCCGACCCTGAAGGGGACGACGACGACGAAGACGACGACGACGCCGACGTGCGTCAGAGTCCTCGGGGATGCTTCTTGGGGTCTCTTCGAATCGCTCTCGGCGGCCTTCGTACGAAGGCCCCACAACTGACCACGGATTCGTGGTCATTTTTGGAGCCTCTTGTGAGCCAATTGGGGGGCCTCTCGGGAGCCTCTTGTGGGCCTCTTGGGGCTTCCCACGGGCTGTCTTGGGGGCCTCTTGGGCCGTCTTGGCGAGATCTTTGGGGTCTCTTGGGCCGTCCTGGAGCGTCGGGAAGCCGAAAAGTCGAGAACGCCAAGACCTGTCAAAAGCCGAAGGGCACTCAATGAAGTTTGCCGCGTGGGGCCATCGTTGGAGTGCTCTTGGAGGCCTCTTGGGACGTTTTGGAGGCCTCGGGGCTGTCTGGAGGCTATCTTGGGCGTCTTGGACGGATCGTTCGGCGATTCGGGTTCCTCTTGGACCGTCATGGCGGCCTCTTTGGGCACTCTTGGCCCGTCTTGGATTTCTTGGGGTTCCGGGACCCCCACGGGGGATGGTATTCTAACCCGGGACCGCCCCACCTGACCCCTCCACCTCGGCAGGGCAGGTATCAAAGGGAAGCGGCTCATTTCGACTTAACCACGATGTTCTTCAGTTTCCTTGTTCCTCAATTTCCTTGGGACGGACGGAGACGACGACGACGACGACGAGGACGACGACGACGACGACTCAAACCGAAACGCGTCTCACACGCTGCGAAGGGTCGGCGGATGCAGGGAGTCCACGTGGCGTCGGGGCCAGGGAGGGGCTCCCGAAAGGAGAGGTGCAGCCGATGCTTCCGCGCCGTGCCTCCGCAGCCATCTTGACTCGAGTGTTTCTTCGCATCAGCCATTTGGGTCTGGATTGATCCAGGTCCGACGATCCCCGACCTTAGGCATCCCCGCAGGAGCTCCTGAGTGCAAGCACTGTTCAGGGAGTGCACGGGGGGTCGGGGCAAGGAAGGGGCCCCAGACAAGGGGGGATGAAGGGGCGGAGAGGTGCAGTCGGTGCTTCCGCGCCGTGCCTCCGCAGCCATCTTGGCTCGAGTGTTTCTTCGCATCAGCCCTTCTGGGCGACCGCAGTTTTCGCCGCGCACCTCGCCGCACAGCCAGCGCCGCCCCGAGACGTACCCATGGCCTCCGATTCCGTCGCCGTCGTCGGGGCGGCTGCCGGTCAGCGCAAGACGGTGCTCCACCTTGTGGGCTCGCGGCAGGACTCTTTCTACTACGACCTCAGCGTCCTGTACGCCAGGGCTTGCGACGGGTGCGAGGAGCTTGACCGCAGTCGGTATGAATTCCGCTTCGCCGTGGTTGGCATGGATGATCGGTGGAGCTTCCCCGAGTCGCTCGACGAGAAGGCCCTGGAGGCAGCCCCGAGCCTGACGTTCGCCGACGCCATGGCGCACATTTGCAAGATGGCCCCCGACGTCATGGTGCCGCACATGTTCTGCGTGGAGGGGATGACGCGGTACAGGTCCCTGTTCGATCTGTTGCAGATTCCGTTCGTTGGAAACAAGGAGTACACGATCTGGCACGCTACGGACAAGGCTACCACCAAGCAGATCTTGGAGGCCAACGGCGTCCAGGTCCCGAAGGGGGAGCTGCTCATCAGGGGTCGCGTCGAGAAGCCCACCACCGTGAAGGTACCTTTTGTTGTCAAGCCGTGCAACGAGGACAATTCTCGCGGCATAACGCTGGTGAGAACGGAGGAGGAGGCCCAGAAGGCGATCGAGTACGCATTTAGCTTCGACGAGCGCGTCGTGGTCGACGAGTACATCGCAGGCCGGGAGATCCGCGTGGCTTGCATCGAGGAGGAGGACGGCTCCCTCACGGTGCTGCCGAAGATCGAGTATCCAGCTGCCTGCGGCAAGTCCCGCCAGCACTCTGGGTGGCGACTGTTCGAGTAATGCGCAGGAGGCCGTATCGTGTGATACTTCGTGCCCCAATGCTTGGGAGAGCCGTAGCATGTGACACGCTCTTGCGCGTCGTGTCGGGGTGTCTCTCTTCGTCTTCCCTCTTCGTCCCTCCTCCTCTCTTGGGGGCTTCTTGGGGGCTGCCTTGGGTCAGTCTTGGGGCCGTCTTGGGGGCCTCCTGGGCAGTCTTGGGAGCCGCTTGGCCCGCCTTGGGGCCCTCCTGTGGGCGTCTTCGGGCCGTCTTCGGGCCACCTCGGAGGCCGTCTTGAGGCCGTCTTGGCGGCCTTTTGTGGCCTGCCTGGGCCGTCTTGGAAGCCACCTTGGGCATCCGGGGGGGGCCTCGGAGAGCGCCCGGAAAGCTTTGGGCCCCCAGCGAGCCCTGGGAGGGGGGGGGTGGGGTGGCGGCGGTGCACGCGGGGGGACGTGACGATGGGGGGGGGGCGGAGCCCTTGGAAGACTCCTGCGGGAGCCCTGCCAGGCAGCCCTCGGCATCCCACCACGCCTCAGCGCGCCAGGGGGCACGGTGGCGGACTTCCTGAAGGACATCCGCACCACGGCGCACAAGCTGGTCACGAGCAGTGACGGCAAGCTGACCGCCGACGCGATCAAGCAGGCAAAGAAGGACGGCGACAGGAAGTGCCCCGCGGACCTGAGCCCGCTGCTGCACGAGCGGGTCGACCGGATCACGCGGGAGGCCCACCGCGCCCTGAAGTGCCGCCACTACTCGCTCTTCGACATGAGGATCGACGCGGACGAGCAGCCGTACGTCCTCGAGGCCTGCCTGTTCTGCTCGTTCTCCCCGCTCAGCGTCATCCCCGCCATGGCGGCGCACGCCGGCCGCGAGGACCTGCGCCACCCGAACCTCTTCCACACCCTCCTCGAGCGCGCGGCCGCGGAGGCGAAGGCCCCCCGGCAGGTCACCGACCAGGGCAGCACCACCGCCAGCGACTGCAGCGGGGAGCACTGATTGCGTCCTCCCCTGCCCTCCGCCGGCCCTGTCCGCTCGAAGGCCTTGGCCCCGAAAATCTCTGGCGCCAGCCCCGAACCAGGCCAGAGGCTCTGGTAACGAAACGTCCGCCCACGCCCAGAACTCCTTGAGTCCTTGAGCTTGGATTCTATGGAGGCATCGATGTAGCTTGAGCTGCTCGCACGGTTTGAGCGTGTACAGCCTCATTCGCCGTCTGATGCTCGGGCCATTTTTCTGACCGGCGTGTTCGCGGTTTCTGTATTGACACATGCACGGCCTTGGTGCTGCTGCTGCTGTGATGGAGCGTCCATGCCCGCAAATTTTCACGCGAATTTTAATTGGGCTCTGGGAGGTGGTCTGGATATTGCAAGCCGCATTGCCGTGTCCAGCCATGGGCCCATCGGTAGTTCAGCATGCCCCCGTACCCGCCCCAGGTTTACAAAGGGGTATTAGGCACGGCGGGATCTCGTGCGATTCGTTGCTCCAGTTGAAAATGGTTTCCAGCGTGGAGCTCTAGCAGTAAGTGATTGCTCTGCGGATGTGCAAGCCGTGCGGTGTAAGCTACGCGGTGCTGGCGATGTCGTGCAAGCTACACGGCGCGGTCTATGTGGTGCAAGCAATGCTGGGTAAGCTATGTGGTGAGATCTATGTGGTACATGCTCTGTGGTGCCATTCATGTGGTGCAGTCTGTGTGGTGCAGTCTATCTGGTGTAAGCTAGTTGATGGGAACTACGTGGTACCGTCCGTGTAGTGCGAGCTATGTGGTGCGCCCACGAGGCGCTTTCGGGCGCCCACACCGACCAGGGCACCAGCCGAACCCTCAGCATACCCATCCAATGCCGTAGCCATCAGGGGAAGAGCCCCTGAGTGCAAGCACTATTCGAAGGCCTTACGGCCGGTGCCGCCGACCCTGAAGGGGGACGACGACGACGACGACGACGACGACGACGACGACGACGACGACGACGACGACGACGACGCTGACGTGGGTCAGAGTTTTCGGGGATGCTTCTTGGGGTCTCTTCGGAGCGCTCTCGGTGGCCTTTGGTGATCAGTTTCGGAGCCTCTTTGGAGTCACTTGGGGGCCTCTCGGGAGCCTCTTGGGGGCCTCTTGGGCCGTCTTGGCGAGATCTTGGGGGCCTCTTAGGCCGTCTTGGAGCTTCGGGAAGCCGAATGACAATCAATGGAGTTTGCCGCGTGGGGCGGGGCCCTCGAGGGAGTGCTCTTGGAGGCCTCTGGGGGCGTCTTGGAGACCTCTTGGCAGTCTGGAGGCTATCCTGGGCGTCTTGGACCGATCGTTCGGCGATTCGGGTTCCTCTTGGACCGTCATGGCGGCCTCTTTGGGCTCTCTTGGCCCGTCTTGGATTTCTTGGGGTTCCGGGACCCCCACGGGGGATGGTATTCTAACCCGGGACCGCCCCACCTGACCCCTCCACCTCGGCAGGGCAGGTATCAAAGGGAAGTGGCTCATTTCGACTTAACCACGATGTTCTTCAGTTTCCTTGTTCCTCAATTTCCTTGGGACGGACGGAGACGACGACGACGACGAGGACGACGACGACGACGACTCAAACCGAAACGCGTCTCACACGCTGCGAAGGGTCGGCGGATGCAGGGAGTCCACGTGGCGTCGGGGCCAGGGAGGGGCTCCCGAAAGGAGAGGTGCAGCCGATGCTTCCGCGCCGTGCCTCCGCAGCCATCTTGACTCGAGTGTTTCTTCGCATCAGCCATTTGGGTCTGGATTGATCCAGGTCCGACGATCCCCGACCTTAGGCATCCCCGCAGGAGCTCCTGAGTGCAAGCACTGTTCAGGGAGTGCACGGGGGGTCGGGGCAAGGAAGGGGCCCCAGACAAGGGGGGATGAAGGGGCGGAGAGGTGCAGTCGGTGCTTCCGCGCCGTGCCTCCGCAGCCATCTTGGCTCGAGTGTTTCTTCGCATCAGCCCTTCTGGGCGACCGCAGTTTTCGCCGCGCACCTCGCCGCACAGCCAGCGCCGCCCCGAGACGTACCCATGGCCTCCGATTCCGTCGCCGTCGTCGGGGCGGCTGCCGGTCAGCGCAAGACGGTGCTCCACCTTGTGGGCTCGCGGCAGGACTCTTTCTACTACGACCTCAGCGTCCTGTACGCCAGGGCTTGCGACGGGTGCGAGGAGCTTGACCGCAGTCGGTATGAATTCCGCTTCGCCGTGGTTGGCATGGATGATCGGTGGAGCTTCCCCGAGTCGCTCGACGAGAAGGCCCTGGAGGCAGCCCCGAGCCTGACGTTCGCCGACGCCATGGCGCACATTTGCAAGATGGCCCCCGACGTCATGGTGCCGCACATGTTCTGCGTGGAGGGGATGACGCGGTACAGGTCCCTGTTCGATCTGTTGCAGATTCCGTTCGTTGGAAACAAGGAGTACACGATCTGGCACGCTACGGACAAGGCTACCACCAAGCAGATCTTGGAGGCCAACGGCGTCCAGGTCCCGAAGGGAGAGCTGCTCATCAGGGGTCGCGTCGAGAAGCCCACCACCGTGAAGGTACCTTTTGTTGTCAAGCCGTGCAACGAGGACAATTCTCGCGGCATAACGCTGGTGAGAACGGAGGAGGAGGCCCAGAAGGCGATCGAGTACGCATTTAGCTTCGACGAGCGCGTCGTGGTCGACGAGTACATCGCAGGCCGGGAGATCCGCGTGGCTTGCATCGAGGAGGAGGACGGCTCCCTCACGGTGCTGCCGAAGATCGAGTATCCAGCTGCCTGCGGCAAGTCCCGCCAGCACTCTGGGTGGCGACTGTTCGAGTAATGCGCAGGAGGCCGTATCGTGTGATACTTCGTGCCCCAATGTTTGGGCGAGCCGTAGCATGTGACACGCTCTTGCGCGTCGTGTCGGGGTGTCTCTCTTCGTCTTCCCTCTTCGTCCCTCCTCCTCTCTTGGGGGCTTCTTGGGGGCTGCCTTGGGTCAGTCTTGGGGCCGTCTTGGGGGCCTCCTGGGCAGTCTTGGGAGCCGCTTGGGCCGCCTTGGGGCCCTCCTGTGGGCGTCTTCGGGCCGTCTTCGGGCCACCTCGGAGGCCGTCTTGAGGCCGTCTTGGCGGCCTTTTGTGGCCTGCCTGGGCCGTCTTGGAAGCCACCTTGGGCATCCAGGGGGGGCCTCGGAGAGCGCCCGGAAAGCTTTGGGCCCCCAGCGAGCCCCGGGAGGGGAGGGGGGGGGGTGGCGGCGGTGCACGCGGGGGGACGTGACGATGGGGGGGGGGCGGAGCCCTTGGAAGACTCCTGCGGGAGCCCTGCCAGGCAGCCCTCGGCATCCCACCACGCCTCAGCGCGCCAGGGGGCACGGTGGCGGACTTCCTGAAGGACATCCGCACCACGGCGCACAAGCTGGTCACGAGCAGTGACGGCAAGCTGACCGCCGACGCGATCAAGCAGGCAAAGAAGGACGGCGACAGGAAGTGCCCCGCGGACCTGAGCCCGCTGCTGCACGAGCGGGTCGACCGGATCACGCGGGAGGCCCACCGCGCCCTGAAGTGCCGCCACTACTCGCTCTTCGACATGAGGATCGACGCGGACGAGCAGCCGTACGTCCTCGAGGCCTGCCTGTTCTGCTCGTTCTCCCCGCTCAGCGTCATCCCCGCCATGGCGGCGCACGCCGGCCGCGAGGACCTGCGCCACCCGAACCTCTTCCACACCCTCCTCGAGCGCGCGGCCGCGGAGGCGAAGGCCCCCCGGCAGGTCACCGACCAGGGCAGCACCACCGCCAGCGACTGCAGCGGGGAGCACTGACTGAAATCCCAGCCTGCCAGCGGGACCGCCACCGAGGGCCGTGTTGTCCAGGGGTCGGGCCTCTTGGGGCGGATCTTCTGAGTGTGCTGTCTCTGGGGTTCCCGTGAGCGGGGTGATGACTGCCGAGCGATGGCGAGTCCCCTTTCGCGAAGCTGCCGCTAAGCAGCCACTTGCCCCGATCGCGTGGCAGTGCGGAAGTACCATCGCCAACCCACGTCGCAATTCCACCCAGCCACCTGGCATCGCTCGGACGTGTGCATTTTTTTCCCGGCGAGGACCGTCGAGGAGCATCCTTGATCATTTGGCGAAAAAACCACGCACGAAACCGAACAAAAAGCACAGGGAATGGACGTCCGAGCGATGGCGAGTCCCCTTTCGCGAAGCTGCCGCTAAGCAGCCACTTGCCCCGATCGCGCGGCAGTGCGGAAGTTACCGTCGCCAACCCACGTCGCAACTCCACCCAGCCAGCGCTGCAGTGCGCAGGCGCCTCTGCAACACCACCGTGGTCAGTGGCCGCCTGCGGCTTCTCCACGTACGGCGGGTGCGCGAGCCGGAACTGCGAGAGCGACACACCGTCTGCCAACATTGCTCTGGCACCAATCTGCACCTGCGCGGCCGCCCAGGAAAGCCCCGTGCGCGCGGTCCCCCAGCCCGTGGGGCTCTCATGCACGTGGTTTCCTCTCTCCCTTCTGTCATCCTCCTCCTCTTCCTCCTCCTCCTCCTCCTCCTCCTCCTCCTCCTCCTTCTCCCCCCCCCCTCCTCCTCCTCCTCCTCCTCCTCCTCCTCCTCCTCCTCCTCCTCCTCCTCCTCCTCGTCCCGCTCCTCTGACTGCCTCCTTCCTTCTCCGCCCTCCCGCCCACACGTCCAGCCATCACCCCGCTCACAGGGGCCCCTGAAGTTAATTACTCGCGCCAGCCCCGAAGATGGCCGGCCATACGTAGCGCCCTGAACTTCTTCAGAGTGAGTTCGATGGCTGCATCGATGCAGCTTGTGCTGCTCGCACGGTCTTGGTGTGTGCAGCCGAATTAGCCGTTTGATGCTCGTGCAAGAACACATCCACAGCCTTGGTGCTGGTGCTGGGACGGAGCGTCCATGGCCGCGATTTTTTGCCCGAGTTTTCACTGGGTTCTGGGAGGTGTTCTGGGCAGTGAGTAGCCGCATCGCCGTGTCCAGCCATGTGCCCATGCGGTAGCCCAGTTCGGGTAATTTTCTTGATCGGCGTTCGCGATGTGCTGTCGAGCACGTGCGCAGCCTTGCTGCTGCCCCGACGGGGCGTCCGCCGCCGCGAATTTTCACGCGCACGTCGGGAGGGATGTGCAGTCAGATTTGTCTGGGTACAGCAGTTCAATATGCTTTCTCCTTTCCGAGGCCGGAATTGTACATGACCACCGCCTCGGAGGATCAGTTTTCGGAGCCTGTGCAGGCGGTGGATGTGCACATCTTCGGGCCCCCGGGGGCCGAAACATATATCCATATCCACCGCCCGCTGGGGCACCAGGACGTCGGTTCCCAGGCGGTGGATATGGATAAATACTCGACTCGCATCCTTGCCCCCCAAGGCTATCCTTAAGTCGGGCCTGTCCCCCTACAGGGGGATTTCGATGACAAATATAAAATACCCCCCAAAGAGCACAAACAGAATCAAAACATAGTATGGGGACTTAAAACAAAGCATTCAAACAGAAGAAGGAAAAACACCATGTTGGGGCATGTTTTGGGTATTTGTTTTTTTTTCGTCGAGGATCCCCCTGCAGGGGGACGCGCCCCCCCAGGCCATCCACAACCTCGCTGCACCCGGCCAGGCAGGGTTCCCGCTCCCGAGGCAGGGCTTGGGGCTCTGAGCCAGGCTGCCCTGCCCGCGTGGCCCTCCCCGCCTCTCCCCCGCGTCTCCCCCCCCCCGACCCCACCACGCTGTCCTGCGTGCCCTGCTGCTGCTGCTGCTGCCGCTGCTCCTCCTCCTCCTCCTCCTCCTCCTCCTCCCCTCCCTCCTCCATCCTCCATCCTCCATTCCTCCTCCTCCTCCTCCTCCTCCTCCTCCTCCTCCTCCTCCTCCTCCTCTCCCGGGAGAGCCAGCGGAGAGCGCCAGCGGGCAACGAGGCCGCTCTGGCTCAGCGGCTGCCTCCCGAGGTCGTGGAGGGCGCCAGGGGCCGCGTGGCAGCAGGCCTCCTCGGCGCCAGGCCGCGGCCGCCCCAGGAGGCGCACCAGCGGCGGCGACGGCGAGGCCCGACGACGTGAAGTTGGCGGTGGGCAAACCGTACGGCCTGCCCGACGACACCTTGGCGAAGCTCCCGTCGATGGACCAGAGCGCGGTCGCCAAGCTGATGCCTGTACTGGTGAAGGCGGTGCTGGGCAACTCGTTCGTGATCAGACAGCTGCTCTCGGCGGCCTACCAGACGGTGATACTCGAGGAGTCCCCGGAGATCGCGAAGGCCGCCTTCCAGGCAGGTCGCGCCTACGCAACGAAGGCGGCGGCGATGCGCGAGGAGTGGCAGCTCGACAAATCCAAGCCATTACCAGAGGTGGCGATGGGGCCTGCTCACGTTCAGGTGTTCCTGGTGACGACCGAGGCGTTGAGCAAGGCAGGCGAGAGGGTAGGAGCTCGGAACAAGGCCTTGTGGGATCAGCAAAAGGCGAAGCTCGACCAGGTCACCAGCCTGACGGACTCTACCCTCTTGGTGCGAGGATTTCGTTTCAGCACGTGCTTCGAGGAAGGCAACGCGAAGCTGCTGTTCGCGCTGGCGGACGTAGAGTCGACCAAGATATTCACCGACTGCGTGGTCCAGCTGGGCGGCGAGGCCAAAGCAGGGGTAGCCCCGAGGTCGAACGTGGAGAGGATTCTGCAGCTGGCGATCGACGAATGGGAGGACGGGATCTAGACGGTGCTGGCGGTTCCAGAACGCAATTCCAGGATATGGCCTTCCTGGTTGACGTCGCCATGTATCGACGTTCTGGAAGTCCTGGGGATGGCCTCCCAGGCTTGACGCCGCCACGTGACGTGCTGGATACCAGAACGCAAATCCAGGGGATGGCTTCCCTGGTTCGCGTCGCCGCGTTTCGAAGTTCTGGAAGTCCTGGGGATGGCCTCCCAGGCCCAATGTCGCCACGTAATCTGGTCGATGTCTCCAGATCTTCGCCGCAGATAAGTCGATCATCGAGGCAGGGAGCCTGCGCACGTACGAATGAGATGGGACATTCTAGTGGACGTGTTTCTAGTCATGGTGATCGGGTACGTGATGTTTCTGATTTTGTGTGTACTACTGGTGGGTCTCTGCAGAATGTGGTTGCGACTCCTGGCGTGAGTCGGTTCCACGCAGGGAGGGGGTCACCACCGGCGTCTTCGACCTCTGAGGGCGTGGTCGAGGTCGAGGCACCGCTCCGACCCTCCGCTGCCCTCGATCCCTTTCGACCTCCTCCTCCTGCTCCTCCCAATGTGCAGCGGAGACAGCATAGTTTTATGGAACTTGTGCGAATGGCCACTGGAGGGCCCTCCAGGTAGCCTCGCCTTCAGTGCCCGAGGGGACTCGGCGTGCCCTGGTTTCGTGTTAGGTTGAGTCGATCGTCTTTCCCGTGCGGGGTGCCTGGTTGGCGGTTTCTGGCCATGTTGGCTCCGTCTACCATGTGCCCGCTGTGGGGAGTGCGGTGGGCTGGAATTCGTCTCGTGATTCAGCCTTGGGCGAGCGATCATTCAATCGGGGCTCCCGCCGCGGGGGCCTATATTCGCAGTATAACTAGCGCGCGGTAGGTCGCGCAATTCGAAATTCATGTCGACTGATGTGTTGTCGGAGCGTCTCCCGACTCGGCCCGTTGCCGCTTCGCCGCCGCCGCCTCCTCTCCCGTCGTCCCTCCCTCCTCCTGTTTCCTCCTGCTCCTCCTCTCCCTGCCTCTCCTTCCTCCTCCGCCCTCCTCTGCCTTCAGGCCTTGTCGTCCGAGTCGAGTCATGCCGCGCCACCGAGTGCTGCATCGCATGGTCTAAGTTTGGATTGGCGTTGGTCGACGTGCGCGAAGGTCTTCTGCATGGGCATGCCAACTCTTGTCGGGCAGAACGAGAGGGGGGGATAGGGATAGGGGGGTTGCGAAATCTGCTGCGCGCCGCTGGTTTCGGCCCCGCCGCCGGGCCCAGACCGCGATGCATGGGCGCCTCCCGGCGCCGGCGCTGGGAGGCGCCGGGGAAATCGGCCACGAGCTGATTCGGTTAATGTGCTCCTCTTCGCAAGCAGTTGATTATAATCCGGCGGAAGCTTTCCGACGAGCCGCACTTGACTTTGGCGGCGAGGCTGTGGGGGCTGTCTTCGTCGGTTCTCCCGCCCTCAACCTCGGTCCTGCACCCCTCGCGTGGGAAGCCCCTTAGGCGGGCGGCTGAGCCGCGCCGACCGGGGAGGGTCAAGAACCTCAGGGTGAAGAGTTGGTTGACAATGTGAGCGCGCCCAGAGGCGGCCCTCCACTGCCGGCGGAGGAAGGGACGTCGGCTCAGCCGACGACATTCTCGGCCGGAGCCTCGCGTTCTGCGCGACGTGCGAGGGGGTCGACTGGCGCGACTCCGTTGCCGAAGATACAGAAGCCCAAGAGTGAGGTGCATGACCTTAACCCTCTGCCACTGAGGGGGGGATTTTATCGCCAGAGCATCAGAACAACAGCTGAGCCACCGGCGGGGGCCCCCGAGTCTTCGGGGGTGGACCCTGGCAGGGCGCCGCCAGAACTCCGCGAGCTTGTCGCGCGCGATGAATTTGGCGAGGAAGAAGGCAGACTGCTGTGGTCACATTAAGACATAGCGTCGAGGGCGAGGGAGCAGAGAACCCCGACATCGAGTCGAGGTCGGAATAAGGCCCGAAGAGCAGGGCGGTCGAGATCGAGAAGGTTTGACGCCCTCGCGTCTCCGCGTCCACCATCGAGTGGGACCGCGAGTAGCTTCTGGATCCGAGAGACCCGCCGGCGCGCGGGCCCGGGTTGCCCGCCGCAGGCCGAGAACCGATGCCCGGGGAGAGCGCGCCAACCGGGGGGTCCTTGCGGTCGCGCCGCGTTTGCTCGGTGCTCAAGTCTGCCCTCGGTGTAGTGTCTCGTGGCTCTGCCGGGGCTGCGTCGTGCTGGAGGAGCACAACTGCCGATTCATCGCCATTCGAGAATGGGAATAGAAACAGAGACTCGAGCAAGAGAAGTTGCGGGCTGCGAATGCCCAGGTGCAGCGGATCATCCGGCAGGCGCAAAAAAACAGAGAGCCGTTGACGATGCAAGCCGCCGCCTCGCTGAATCCGAACCCGCGGGGGCGAGGTCGAAAAGGTAGCGATCGCGCGCGAAGCCGAGCAAGATGAGGTCGCCACAGCAGAGGATGTCCAGATGCGTTCAAGTCAGGCGGGAGCTGGCGCGGCAGGACTTGCGAGCGCGGCTCAGCGGCGACTCGCGCGAGAGAAAAAGGACAAGTGGAGGATTCAAGGAGCGGCTCAGCAGATGTTGTCATCATCGCAGCGCCAGGCGGAAAAAGAGCGCATCGAGGCTCAAAACGCCGCGGGCGCTGCGAGACGGGAAGGGGGGTGGGGGTGGCCCGAGAACAGACGGCGCCAGAAAACAAGGGCCCCCGCGATCAACGCGATTCTGCTAGGCTCGAGGCGGAAATTATAAAGCTAGAGGCAGCCCGCGCCCTCCGTGAGCAGGACAAGAAAGCCGCGGCGCTGAGAGAGGGCGATCAACGGCGAATGGCAGATGCCTGGGGCCCGGCCAGAGGGCGTGCAGACGAGCAGAACGAGAAAAATGCATTCCTTCTTCGCGTTGTCAGTGAAGAAAATAGAAAGTTAAGTTCTGACCCAGAGCAACGCGAGAGGGCTAGGGAATCGCTGGAGAAGCTCAAGGCGACGAGGGCCCAGCCCAGCTGCTGAGCAGACGCGATCGACACCTACGGCTCAGCCGCGAGGTGTCGCGCCGCAGGCGCGGGCGAACTCGGCGCCAGCCGATCGAGCGGTGGAGCCAATGTTGCGACCCCCGTTGCCATTGGCTGCGGCAGCGCCGGCTCAGCCGGCAGGTGTCGAACCGCCCCCTAGCCTGACCGTTGCTCGCCCCGCCCGGGCGAGGGCGGCTCAGCCGCCGCGGCCCCAGATTGGTGCGCCTGATGAGTCATGCCACATGTGCTCATAGCCGAAACAAGGGTTGTGCGTGGGCTGCGGGGGCCCCGCCCGCAAGGAACGCGCGGGTGATGGGGCCGAGAGGCGCGCCGCATGCGCTAGTAGAAAAAGGCGCCCGGCGAACAAGATGACCCCGTGACCAAGGCGGAGCAATTAAATCCTTGACATCCACCGCAAAAAGGCAGGAGCAAGGAAGGTGGCCGAAAGCGCGGGCGACATGATGCAGAAGCACTCCGAGCGCCCGGAAGAGTTCCTCCGCCAACGAGAACTCCAGATGCAAGGGCTTGCAGACAACAAAGCAGAGTTAGCCGATCTCAAGAAGGACATAGCAGCGTCGAATGCATATCAAGAAATGCCGCAAAGGTCAAAGAGGCGCGCGTCGCAGAGGGGAGCTGGATTGGCCAACAGGCCAGCGGCGTGATAACGGTTTGGGCGCGCCGTCTTTCCAGACCACAGATTCAGTCTTGGACCGTGTGCCCCCGTTTGCGGCGCCAGACGCGCCACGGGCCCCTCTTTCGAACTCGCGTTTCATCCCGGGGCCAGCCGTGGAGGCGCCATTCGAGCCCATTTAACGCGAGGTTCTCAGGGCCACCTGACAATTGTGACTTGCCAGGCCGACGTCCCTTCGCCGGCGGCTCAGCCGCGCCTGGCGGGGGCCGGCGGTGGACCTGGCGGCGGCGACGGTGGCCGGGGGGGCGACTGGAGCACTGCGCCGAGCACAGGAGTGCTCGTGGCCGCAAAGCTCGATGAGTCGGGAAAGCCTAAGTCGCCTGGGGGGCCCCTGGGCGGACAGAGAGGCAACGGAGGTCCCGGCGGTGGCGGAGGTGGCGGGCCCAATGGTCTTAGTGCCCCCATGCATTATACATATGTTGCAAGCCCCATGGGCCCTAACTGGAGACCCTTCGGGAACAGCAAAGAGCTCAGCAATCCAGACGCTCATCGCGCGATCAAATCGCGGCGGTGGGCAGGCTGCGAATGCCGGCAGCGCAGCTGCCAGCCCTACTCCTCAAGCGATTGCGTCCCTCGGCAACCGCCCTTACCGGAGCTCCAAGTCAGTGTCGCAACGCGACGAGATTGCCGAGGGGTCCCGGGGCGTTGCGCCTCCAGCAGGATCCGCGATCCCACGGCGCATCGGGTTTAACCGTTCTGGTTCAGATCCTTTCTCGGAGACGCAGTGCTGGTTCGACCTGGCCCCCCATTGGAGGCGGGGAGGCTCGCGCGCTGAGGGGTCAACTCGGTCGCGTGGTGCAATATGCGAGCGCGACTGGTCGGAGTGCTCTGGAGGCTGGCACGGTATCACTTGCGAACAGGACGCCCACCACGTCGCTGCCCAGTACCTCCTGGAGCATCTGACCTCAACGGGCAAAGAGGTGAGACTTGGCGGGGAAGCGACCCGCGAGGTCACTCCGCAGCTGGCTGAGGCAGTTGCTGAAATGCGGGGCCAGCCCTGCGCGAGCATGCCAATGCACCGGCGTTGGGACAGAGTTTTCATGATCGTACGAGAGATCATCTCCTCCTTCATCATTGACGGTCTGTATGTTGCCTTGCCCAGCCAAGATGTGAACCGTCTTGTGCAAGTTGGGGACCTTTTCCCTGGCCGGCGGCGGATGGGCGCCTACGCGCTCGACTGCCGCAGCAGGTCAGCGATTCAATCGTCAGATCTGATGGGGGAGCGGGCAGATGGCCTCGGCCCGGGGGCCCGTCGCGAAGTTCGACGCTTCTATGGCGAAATCCAGGATGCCATGGCGTTTCTCACCTCAGAAGGCGGCGCTGACCCTGATGAGAGAGCCCGCCTGGATACGTGTCGTTTTGGTCATTTTGTCGCAAACGCGGCCGTCGGAGTTATCAAATATAGCAAAGACAAGGTCGCGGCGGCGGTCGGCTCAGCCGATCTGTCCGCCGAGGCCTCTGGCGGCTCCGCCGCTTCGGGGGCTGACGCGGTTGTGGCGTCGGAGCCCGCGCCATCTCCGGGGCCTTTCAGGAACCCAACCGAGAACGCCGAATGATCTGATTAAAACCGCGAGAGGAGGCAAGGGCGAAGGTGCGCGCGCGCGGCGCCGCAAAGACGTGCCCCGCAGCCCCCTGATGCTGCGTGGTCGAATTGTTCTCGGACGACCGCTCGCAGATCCAGCCCGCGCGATGCTGCCAGTGCGAAGGCTGGCCCTGCAACGGCGCCCCCCGCTCTGCGGAGGCCCGGGCCCCCCCCCTATTCCCGAGGGCATGGCGTCCGCTGGCTCAGCCGCGACGGTCGCCGAGCTCCCATGGGGCGCCGCGTCGGCGGCGTCCTTCGTGGCAGCAGACGAGAGGGGTTAGCCAGTGCGGGCGGATGAACTGGAGCGGCGCTGCGCGCCTGCGAGCGACGAGGGCTGTTGCCTCGCGGGACAACCCCGACACGGGCAACCGCGGCAGCATCTGCGGCTACTGGGTCCACATCAGCCGCCGCGGTCCGAAGACTGGAAGTTATGACACATGGAAGCGGTTCGACTTGCCGACGCGCAACAATCTCTTCGCTGCCCCTTTCAGCCTGGGCACCCAGGCTCGGAGCAACGCCTTCTGGAGATCTTGTGCCAGTATGGCCAGCCTGTGCGGCGCCGGCGGCGGCTGCTGCTGCGCCAACTATGCCGCCGCCGGCCGCGCCTGCGCTGCCGGTTCGACCTGCGGGGTGCGCCGGCGCCGGGCAGCGCGAGGGCGACGCGACGCCGAAGGCAAAGGCGGCTGACACAGGCGAGGGCAAGAACAAGGACACGGGCATTGACAAGGGCACAGGAAAGGGCAAGGACAATGAAGGACAATATCCTTACGATCAAACCCAATGGAGTTGGCAGTGGAATCGCGACTGGAACCATTCTTGGCCTCCGGGAAGACTGTATGCGCACAGCTTCGCGGCGACACCAAGCTTGGGCTTCGCCTTATCGACGTCACCACGAGCTACGGCGGTTCCAGCCTGCAAAGCACTGCAGCACGGGCATTGATCCCTGCCATCACCAGTCTTTGTACACAACGCTGTTGGTTGTTAGATGCCCAGCTGAGAACGCGGTCGCCTGCGTGTGTAGTAGTAGTGAATATCCTGGTTTTGTTTACGTGTAATGTGTGAATTCATGGCAATTTGCAGGCTCAGTTCCGCCACCCAGGTTTTGCGGCCCTCGTCCACTGTGTGGCGTCGCGCTCGCGCCGAGGGTAGGCGCTGTGGGCCTGTTCTGGAATTATCCAGCAAGGCGGCCCCCAAGATTTGCGATGTCCGGTTTTTCTCAATGCGGGGTTCCCGGAGGTCACGACCTTTTCCACAGGGCCAGTTTTTCATTTTGAGCCGTCCTTGACGGTCCCGTTTGACCATTTGAGATGTTCACCGCCTCCAATTGGTATTCCGTGACATATTCACGTTGCCGTTGCAGAGCGCTCGTCGCCCAGAAAGTTGTTTGAGTTTGCGATGTGGGGGGGAAGCAATGACGGTCCCTGGCGAGGACCCCCAGAGGCTGAAAATGGCCTCAAACCTCCTGTCGTGTTTTTTCGTCACGACGCGAGCACGTCTGGGCTCCGCCTCCCTTGGAGCTTCTCTCGCTCTTCTCTGGCCAGCCTCCCGCGAGGCAGGCTCGCGTGGAGCCCTCCCCAGTCATGATGAGCCCGTCCTCCACCACCGCCACCATAAGTTGGAGGGGGAGGAGGTCCTCCTCCTCCTCCTCCTCCTCCTCCTCCTCTTCGTTCTCCTCCTCCTCCTCCTTCTTCGTCCTCCTCCTCGTTTTCCACCTCCCCCCCCTCCAACTCATGGTGGTGGTGGTGGAGAACTAGCCCATCAAGTCAGAGGCAGAAGCCGTGGTTCGCCTTCCGCCGGATGGCGCGGTCGGCGGCCGGGCAGGTGTCCCGCGTGTGGCCCACGCGCCGCCGCTCCTGGCCTGCACAGAAAAACCAGGGGGCAACGTTTTAGGGGGGAAGGCTCAGAGGGGGTGAATCGAGCCCCAATCTCAGAGGAGGAAAAGGTACCCATACCTCCACCCTCCCCTCGTTTTCACCTTTTTGGGCCTCCTGGGCCTCCGTCGTCGTCACCGCTGGATTCGCCTCGAAATCCTGGTCAGAACGCACCCCAGGAGAGGTCCAGAGAGTAGCGGCATCGGTACCTTTTGGTCTCCCCACAGTCGCCCACCGACCGCCGACACGGGACCGACAGGGCACCCCGCCCAGGAGCGCGCGCATTCGCCATCGGGGCTCGACGTCGAGCCGTCGGCGACGCAGCGCCGACTCCAGCTCGACGCCTCCCCCCCTGTCCCTCCTCCCTCCTCCCTCCTCCCTCCCTCCTCCTCCTCCTCCTCCTCCTCCTCTTCCTCCTCCTCCTCCTCCTCCTCCTCCTCCTCCTCCTCCTCCTCCCCCTCCCCCTCCCCCTCCTCCTCCTCCTCCTCCTCCTCCTCCTCCTGACGTTGCCTCTCGGGCAAGTGTCCCGCATGTGGCCGAAATCCCCACAGCTTGTGCAGAGCAGATCAGCAAAGTGCCTGGCCACCTCGTCACCAGAAGGTGGCTCCCAAGTCTGTAGGCCTCCCAGCTCCGGAAGCACATCGAGGCGTGGCCAAGCCTCTATCCAGACAGGTGCTGCTTCCACCCACCCCTCTCACATTTTCAGTCACGCAGATTTTGCCAAGTTTGGTAGTGCACGATAGCCGGTGCGTAAGGGCGTCCTCCAGGGGTTTTGTCAAGGGCTTGCTTGAAGAATCGTAACTGCCAGCCTACAACGGTAGGCGAGCGATGTCGTGCTATGAGAAAGGCAGTCCTGCTCCGCACGAGGGCTCCCAGGACACCCCTGGGTGGCGCACGCGCCAGAGTAGGCTCCCTTCGGCGTCGTCGTGACCGACTGCTCCGAGCTACCGTCCTCCCTCCTCTCTTTATCCATCCTTCTCTTCTTCCTCCTTATCTTTATCCATCCTCTCTCATCTCTCCTCTCTTTATCCATCCTCTCTTATCTCCTTGTTCATACTCTCTTGTCTCTTTATCCTATCTATCCTCCGTCCTCCCTCCTCTCTTTATCCATCCTCCCTTATCTCTCCGAGCCATCGTCCCCCCTCCTTTCTCCCTGCTCCCGCCAGCAGTTTTGGGGAGGCTGGCGCAGGATCGTCCTGGGCCTCCCGCGCATCCTCTTTCGGAGGGCGCAGGACAGAGCGTTGAGGTACGCTTCAGTCGTGCCTGTCCCTCTACAGGGGGAATATTCAAAAGTAGTCGAAACATAGTCTGGGGACTGTTAAATATATATATATATATATATATATTTATAATCTTTGATTGTTATATCTCTCAATTCGGTGTGGCCCGCTTGTTGGTCTGTAACCATCTCGCTCAAGTCTTGAGGGCCGATGTGGCAGCAGCGTCTCCAGGACCTCGCTGCCAACGGTCTGCTAGCGTACCTCGGTCGTTGCCCAGCGGCCCCGACCTGCCCGACAACCCCTCCTTGCCCGACAGCGCCATCGCTCACGTGTGGGTCCTGCCCATCGTGCCCTGCCTGCCCGTCCTGCGTCTGCGGGCCGCAGGTGGCGTCGGCAGAGAGCCCGGCGCGGTGCCCGGCAGAGGCAGCAGCGCCTGACTGCCCGTGGAGCTACTGGCTGACCGTGGGCGCGGTCATCGGCGTGTTGGTGGGCTGGGCCATCATCCTCTTCATCTTCGTGCTGCGTGGACTGACCACGCGGGCTCTGAAGGCCCTTTCGCGATCTCCCTCGACACCTTCGCCTGCATCGGCGACGATAGCACCGGCTACTCCTAAGAGCATTCGAGATGGATACGTTGGACATTCCAGAACCCCAGGTTCTGGTGCACTATCCAGATGACGAGGGAGGGCTCTTCTGGCATCAGCGCATTCTGGTCAAGAAGATTGCACCAGGGATTTGGATCGCTGCCACTCCCGACTTAGAGCTCGTTCGTCACAATCTTTTGGAGCAGCGACACAAGGTTTTGGATCGCAATGCTATGTTCCCCGCCAACATTCGTGCACAGGTCTACGGCTTCGACCCTGTGCCGCGGGCGGACATCCTGGCTCTGAAGAGGCAGGCAGCGGTGCAGGCAGCAATTTTGGGAGATGGCGACGCCGACATGGAGATCGAGCATTTTGCCTGGGTGATCTCAGAGGCGGGCCACCTCCGCTTCGCGCAGACCCTGACCGACCAGGAAGTGGAGCAGGCCACGCTGGGGCAGACCAAAGGGGTTGCTCTAGTCAACGGCCTGGAGGTCTTCGTGGAGAAGATCGAGGCAGATCGTGCGAAGATCGAGAAGTGGAAGGCCGAACGTGAAGCCGGAGCGGGTGACCTACGTGTGCTGGGTGATCACCGTGACGCCTCAGGTCGTCGCCATCTCACTCTCACCGAGGGTGTCTCCTTGATGAGGGAGACTTCGTTTGAGGACTGGAACATGCCTGGGCCTCGGATCGCAAAGGAGTGGCTTGTTTCTGTTCGGGATGGGCCTGGCGACCTGACCACCTACCATAGCCAGTGGATGCGACGCTCGGGCGTCGGAGAGGGCACAGCTGTGGCCCACATCCACTTCGTGATGTGCGAGATCGTGCGGCTGGCCGTCCAGGTCGATCAGTTGGACGTCTCCAACCTGATGAGCTTCGAGCTCGCCATGCGCAGGATCTGTCAGGACGAGACAGCCGTTTCGCGCAATCCTCGTCACCCGGACTATGGCGGGCTCGACATTGTGCTGCACGCCCCGGTCTCGGAGCAGGGCCAGGCCAGCACGGACAGGTTCACAGAGTGGGTCACTGGCCGCTTGAAGGAGCGCGCCTCGATCTACAAGCAGACCCGCCTCTGGAACGAGGAGCAGCGCGCCCTGCAGGCTGCCCGCGCCTCGGTGGACCCCAGCAAGGGAGGCGGACGCGGCCGCGGGCGTGGCCGCAGCAAGGGCGGCAGGGGCGACCAGGAGCAGGGAGGCTCGGGGTGACCGAGGCTTTCCGGGCCGAGTCTGAACCCCGAGCTCGGCCCGGCGCGGTCACTCAAGATCGGGGACAACCTACCAGGTGGAGGCCTTCAAGACGGAGGCACGGGGATCCCTTCCCCCTGCCGCATTTTTCGCCATCCCAGCTCAGCAAGATGGGTGGCAACTTCGAGCAGCGACAGCGGGCTTCTCTGGCACGGGCTTCGCTCAACCACCTCGCTGCTGCTCAGCCGAATGCAGACTTAGTTTCTCAGGCTCGTCAGCCAGCTCGGGCCCCTACTGCCGTTCAGGATTGGATTCTGGACAGCATTGTGGAGCGCGTCGACGCCGTGGGGCCCCCCCCGCCAGGCCTCACAGCCGAGGGGGCCGCGCGCGAGCTGCTGGCCTCGAAGGACCTGTATAGCCAGGAGCCGAAGCACCTAGCGCCGTTCGACCTGACAAAGCTCAAGGTTGCCAAGGGACGCGCCCGGCCGCGGTCTGTGGCCAATTTCCTTCCTCCTTTGGCTGGGGAGATGATTCGGAACCCAGCGCAGTACATAGAGAAGGATGAGGGGGAGATGGAGTTCACACGTCAGACAACTGATCCCATCAAGCCTTATTGGGATCCAGTGCTTCGTTCTAGCCGACTGGAGCGATGGAGGCTGTTTCGAGTGCTGTACGAGCTAGGGCTCATCACGTTCAGGCCCCGTCTTCGCGCTCGAGCCGCCTTATTTTTTGTGAAGAAAAAGAAACCTGGCGAGATCAGAATGATAGTTGATGCGAGGCAGGCCAACGCCTGCCACCGTGCGCCTCCGACCACTCGCCTTGGGTCGGCGGGCGCCCTCGCGGACCTCGACTTCTCCGACGGGAACGGCTCCTTCGGTGGCGTCGGCAGTGTCGTCGGCTGGGACCCCCACGGGAACGAGGCGGACGTCGAGGATTGCTTCTACAACTTTTCAATAGACGGGCTGGCTGAGTGGTTCGGCTTCGATGACCCGCTGCCCGTTGCCACTATCAGGGACACCTACGGCATCAACATTGGCTCTTTTTGGGACCCAGACCTCCACAGGATGGTTGCGGCGACCGACGACGTCGTGCTGTACCCGTGCATGCGTGCCATGTGCATGGGCTGGTCTTGGGCCTTGTTTTTCGCTCAGGAAGCCGTTTCAGCTATGACCTCCCGCGCCCTTCGGCCTTGCTCGACTCTGGAGCCGGCCATGGTGAGGGAGCACCTCCCAGCGCCTGACCTCAACGAGTCCGGGGTCATGGGCAGCGTCTACGTTGACAACATCACCGTCGTGGGTAAGACTGCCGCTGTGGCCCGTGAGGCCAGTGCCGCCCTTCGCGACGAGGCGGAGCGCTGTGGTCTCCCCATCACTTGGTCGTACCCCGACGTCGTCACTCATCTGGAGACGGTGGGAATCGAGCTTGATCTGAAGCAAGGGCGCCTGCGCAACAAGGCCTCCCGAGTCTGGAGGTTCGACCTGGCCACCCGGGCGCTGCTGGCCCGGGGTAAGATGCGAGGTGAACACATGGAGGTCTGGTTGGGCCACGCGGTCTCCCTGCTGATGCTGGCCCGGCCAGGCTACGCTGCGCTGTCCGCCGTCTACCGGTTTGCGGAGGAGGCCTGGGGCGTGCGGACTGTCTTGCCTAGCGAGGTCAGACAGGAGATGCGCATCGTGGTCGGGCTGGTCTGGCTCGCGGAGGTCGACCTGGCAGCGCCCTACGTGCCGCACGTGTACGCCAGCGACTCCGCCGACCACGGGTACGGGCTCATGTACAAGAGGGCCTCGCTCGGCGACCTACGCTCGGCCTTCCGCTGGAAGGAGAAGTGGAGCTTCAAGCAGCACCTCCGAGGGCCGCGCGTGGGTCTTGTGCCTCCGACTGATGTTGCCGACATGGGGGGGTACGGCGACGTGATCGACCGGTCCCTGGACTATGAGATCGAGCCTCGCTGTCAGTCTTCCTCGCCTTGCAGCGGCACCGCGCCCGCGACCGCCTTCGGCCAGTGGCTGCAGCGCCGGGCGGAGGAGGGCTCGCCGTCGGCGGGGGCCCACCAGCCGCGCCGCCGCCGCCGGGAGTGCCACGCCTCTTGGCGTGAGGGCGATCTGGAGGTCCCGCCACCGCAGACCGGACCTCTTGCGCCACCACTCCCGGCCGCGTGGTGCGAACCCGAGGGCTTCCGCCTGGTCGCGGCGAAGAGGTGGCGCTGGCCGAGTGAGCACATCAATGTGAAGGAGACCCGAGCTGCTGTGATGGGCCTTCGCCATGCCTGTCGCGTCCGCAGCAACTGCGGACGCCGCTTGGTTTCTATCGTCGACTCCATGGTTTGCGTTGGCTGCCTGGAGAAAGGGCGGTCTAGCCGCTCAGCAGCTCTGAACGCACAGTGCCGGCGCGCGGCGGCCTACACGATAGGGTGTAGGGTGCGATGGAGACTTCGATATGTCAACACGAAGCACAATGTGGCCGACGCCCCTTCGCGTCGGTTCGAACACTCCTCTCCCGACAAAGGTCATCATAAACATATTCACGACGAAGCCCCAACAATTTCTACTTCTCCCTCTCCCTTGAGCACTGTGGTGGGAGTGGGCTCGCTGCCTCCTGGTCTCGGCCTCGCAGGGCATCCGTCCGCCGGCGCCGAGTGTGACATACAGCCAGAAGTGCAGGTTTGCGGGCCGCACGCTGAAACAATTCATCGGTCTTCTTGCCCGTCTTCCACCACAACACCTTCGGTGACCAGCCAAGCCGCCGCACCCCCTCTGCGTCTTGGGCATGCTCAACTTCTGAGGCGGGCCCAGCGAGGCCAGGGCTTCCTGGAGTTGTTCTCGGGCGAGGGCGGGCTTTCGGAGGCCTTCAAGGAGCTCGGCCTGAAGACCTTCCCCGGGATGGACATCAAGGACGGGGCCCACTATGACCTCCTGGATCCCGTGGTGCAGCTCGTTATCTTACAGGGTGTTCGAAAAGGGATGTTCTGGTATGTTCATATGGGTACCCCCTGCTGTATTTGGTCTAGGGCTCGCCACGGTATGGTCAACCTCGAGAGAGCCCGACACAAGGAACGTATTGGTGTAGCTCTGGCTTTATTCAGCTGTCGTGTTGCCTACGAGTGTTCAAGACATGGAGTTTTCTGGAGTATTGAGAACCCGAGGACCTCGAGGCTCTGGGATTTTGACCCCGTTCGAGAGCTCACCAACCTTCCCGACGTGATTCAGATTTTTCTCGTGCACTGCAGCTATGGGGCCCCGCACTTGAAGCGGACTAAGATCCTCACGAATTTCTTTGCCCTGTCGTCCCTGAGCTCAGAGTGCTCCAGAGACCACATGCACGTGGAGCTCAGGGGTTTCGAGACAGTTACGTTGCCATCTGGGGCTCGGGTCAGACGTAATCGGACCGCTGGAGCGGGAGCCTACCCCCGCGGGCTCTGCAAGGCATGGGCTCAGGCGGCCGCTCTGACCGCGCCTGCCGGCGCCCGTGGCGACGTGGACGCTGCTGACGGCGGAGACCTGGAGGCACAACTCCGGGATGCTTCGCAGCGGCCAGCTTCGCGTGCCCGAGAGCGCCTCAGGCCGGCTCGGCAGCGGCTCCAAGCGGAGCCTGACCTCGGGCTCTCTGCAGCCGCCGACCCAGACGCCCTCGAGAGCCGGTACGACCACCTCCGGCCGTTCATCGTCTTTGGCCAGGACTCCAACCTCGAGGCGGCTCGGAAGCAGGCGGCCCGCGCCAAGAGAGGCCCAAAGGGTCGCTGGCCGTCGCTGCCGCGCCTCTAAGTTCGTGGAGTCCATCAAGGGTCACACGTTCAACTTCGGGCCCCGCGCTCCTGTCCCTGCTGATGGAGGCGTGGCCCGTTTTGGTTCCGTCACCGCGATCTCCTTGGAACGGTACGGCACCGCGGTTCGTGATTTCTTCGACTGGGCCACGCGAGGTGATGAGGACCTGAGGAAGGCACCCGAATCCAGGATTGACCAGTTAATGTGCAAGTATTTTGACAAGCTGATGAGTGATGCAAGACACCCCGCTGAGGGCCGCTATGCTCTCTGGGGCTACCTGACTTTCTTCCCGCGCTCTGACATCGCCAAGTCTGCCCGCCTCATGATGGCCAGGGAGGCTATGAAAGGCTGGACCCGCCGATTTCCTGGCTCGTCTCGCCACCCATGGCCGCTGTCAGTTTTCTTCCTGTTCATGACAGTCTTTATGAAAGACAAGCACATCGGAGCCGCAGTAGCCTTAGCCATCCAGCTGGACGCCTACCTGAGACCCTCAGAGATCTGCGACCTACGGTGGTGCTCAGTGGTTCGCCCTTCGTCATCATCGTCGCGTCTAGCCCGAGGCCGCTGGGCCGTTGTTATCGGCAACTCAGACCTTGGTGAGACCACCAAGACAGGCGAGTGCGACGACACCGTGGTGCTCAACTCGCCAGGCCGAGACTGGGTCGGCTCGGTCCTCGAGATGTGGGCCCGGCGGCGCCCGTCGAGCTCGCGCCCAGAGGATCCAGTGTTCCCGAACCTGTCCTTGGCCAAGTATGAGGCTCTTTTTAGACAGTACAGCCGGTCCGTCTTAGGTAAGACTGGCCACCTGACGCCGCACGTTGCACGCCACTCGGCGCCATCCCATGATGTTCTGACGGGCGCTCGCAGCCTGAGCATGGTGCAGAAGCGTGGCAGGTGGGCTCATCCCAAGTCTGTGAAACGATATGAGAAGAGCGGCCGCCTCTTGCTTCAGGCTGCTCGCCTCCCGCCAGAGCTCGCAAGACGAGCTGCAGCAGCGGAGGCCTCCATTTTTCAGTGTTTCCAAGAGGCCCTCCAGTAATCAATGTCGGTATGGGTGCAGTTGTGCCAAGGCCTTTGCGTTTTCCTCAGCGTTTTTTGCAATCGATGTGCAAGCTTCGGAAGGAATGTTTTGCAGTGCTCGCCTGATGCATGTTGGAAAAAGCTATTCACGTCTGCTTCGCAGTGTCACTGGGCCAATTTAGAATGGACAGAGGTGTTTATAATCTTTGATTGTTATATCTCTCAATTCGGTGTGGCCCGCTTGTTGGTCTGTAACCATCTCGCTCAAGTCTCCCTCCCTGTTTCACCCTCCCTTGGGGTGCAGTTGTGCCAAGGCCTTTGCGTTTTCCTCAGCGTTTTTTGCAATCGATGTGCAAGCTTCGGAAGGAATGTTTTGCAGTGCTCGCCTGATGCATGTTGAAAAAGCTATTCACGTCTGCTTCGCAGTGTCACTGGGCCAATTTAGAATGGACAGAGGTATATATATATATATATATATATATATAATATAAACAAATAGGCCCCCCCCCCCCGGCGGGGCCGCCCACTCCGCAACCATCGGGGAACGCTTTTTAATACCCCCTCCCCGGGGCCTCCAAGGAGCCTCCAAGGAGCCTCCAGACGACCCAAGAGGCCTCCAAGACGGCCCCAGGAGGCCCCCAGGATGGTCCAAGAGGGCCCCGAGGCGGTCCCAGATCGCTCCAAGACGCCCAAGATGGTCCCAAGACGGCCCAAGGGGCCTCCAAGACGCCCCAAGAGGCCTCCAAGAGGCTCTCCAAGAGGGCCCCAAGAGGCTCGAATCGTTGATTTTCCATTGTGTTTTTCGATGTTTTTGGCTTTCTCTCCTTTTGGGCTCCCTGGCGCTCCAAGACGGCCAAGAGGCACCCAAGATCGCCCCAAGACGGCCCAAGAGGCCACCAAGACGGCCCCAAGACGGCCCAAGAGCGCCCCGGGACCGCTTAAGAGGCCTCGAAGACGGCCCAAGAGAGTCCCAACACGGCTCCAAGAAGGGGCCCAGACGCGGGATCCGAGCGCACTTTACGGGCCCTCGGCCCCAAGAGCATCCCCAGAAACCACTAGAGGCTCCCAAAGGCCCCCAAGAGCCCCCCGGGAGGCCCCCAAGAGCCCCCGAGCAGGCACCGAAACGAGCCCCATGCGATTTCGGACACTTTCATATGCACCCCTTCTTCCTTCCGATCCGTTCCGTTGAGCTGCCTGCATTGAGTAGCATGTGCATTGCATTTCAATTCAACAATAATGCTGTGAATCGCGCTGCATTTGCAACGTTTGGCGTTTGTTTTACTACTCGCATTGGTCTGCATGGCGTTGCATTCGATACGTCTGTGTGCGCCCTCGTGTGTACTACGGCCCTGTTCGGTCTGCGCCATTGTTACCTCTCCAGTTCATGCTCCTGCCATTGGTGGTTACGTGCACGCGTGCACATGTTAGCTTTGAGAGGATGGGGGCTGCTGGAACCTCAGCGCGCTCGAACTGCGCGTGTGGTGTTAGTTGGGGCCGAGGGTGCGAGCTTAGCGTGCACATGTTAGCTTTGAAAGGATGGGGGCTGCCGTTGTTTCTGTGGCCTCCTCGTCCTCCTCCGTCGGGACAGCCCATGTCTACTTAGCTGATCTCGGTGCCGACGCACACTCCCTGACCAACCCTTGTTTCCGGGGCCGTCGGAACAGCTTCCTTCGGGGCACAAGCTGCGTGCGGAGCGAGTCGAAATGCGCGGGGAGACGCTGGGCGAATTCTCCCAACAGAGCCGTGTGAAAGGTGTGCGATAGGCGGAGGGACGCCGTGCTTTTCTGTCCCTGGCACCGTTCGTGGAGTTCTGGGGGGAGGAAGGAGGTGAAGGAGGTGAAGGAACACAAGGAGGGACAGATTGAAGAGAGCGGGGAGGACAGGGAGGAGGAGGAGGAGGTGAATGAACAGGGATCCACTTCAGGGAGACGGCATCGAGGAGAAGAAAGAGGAGGAGGAGCAAGAGGATAGGATGATGGGGAGAGATAGAACGGAAATGAGGAGGAGGGGGAGGGGACTGGAGTAGACCGATGATGATGACGGCGACGACGCTGATGATGAGGATGACGAGCACAACGACGGCGCCGACGAAGATGATGATGATGATGATGATGATGCTGATGCTGATGCTGACGATGATGATGCTGATGATGATGACGACGACGATGATAGTGAGGACAACGATGACGACGACGATGATGACGATGGTGCTGACGATGCTGACGATGATGGTGGTGATGATGATGGTTGTGCTGGTGATGGTAATGGTGAACACGACCATGACGATGACTACGATGGTGATGATTGCGATGATGACGATGGTGAGGATCCTGGCTAGAACTTGAGCGCGCGCGAAGCGCGCGCGATGGTTCTAGTATATATATATATATATATATATATATATATTGACCATGTTGGAGCATTTTTGGCGTATTTTGCATTTTTCGTCGAAAATTCCCCCTGTAGGGGGAAACGCCCGACTTAAAGGTACGCCGCTCGCCTCCTTACTTTTGCCCTCCTCGTCGCGCTTGCTGCCCTTCGCCCCGTCCGCCTCATCCTCTCCCTTGTTCTGGCCTTCATCATTGTTTCAGTCCACGTCTTCGGCGTCGGCTGATCGCCATCGTCCTCGTCGTGATCGTCTTCTTCGCCCACGCCGCGGACCTCCGCCTCGCCCTCAGCATTTTCGTCGCTCGATCTCGTCATCGTCGTCGTTGTCGTCGTCCGCTCCATTTCGTCGTTGTTGTCGGCATCGTCGTCCCCCTCCGCCCGCTCAGGCTCGGGTCCGTGCTACCACATCTTGCTCGCTACCTGGAGGACCTGCCCCTGCGACGGGCCGCCAGTCGCGCGCGACGACGAGAAGCAGGTGTCGGTGTTTTGGCGATTTCGTGGGCCGTTTTCGTTTCGACTTCCTTCTGCGGTAAAGGCGGATTGAAGACAAAACCAGGGATAACGAACACGAAAACGAAAACGAAAAACACCATTTAGGTTCAGCCTTGACGATAAGGTGCCCATCTTCTTGGATGCCACCCAGCAGCAGGGAGAGAGGCGGGGATAGGGAAGAGCAGAAGGAGGAGGAGAGCGTGGAGAAAGAGGAGGGGGAGGATTAACAAGCGAGGATGGTTGGTCGGTATTCACGATCGCCAGGTTCTCTCGAAGGCATTTGGGCATAGCGTACGTGCTGGCCGAACGCAGCCGGCCAGAAGGAGTGGCGGAGAAGGCAGACGACCCCCCGATGTCGTGCACGCATCGCGGCGGTGTGGAAATCGAGTCTAGTGGGATGTGATTATGCATAATCCCAGAGGTGCCCACAGGACTCAGAGGGCCCCCCTAGACTCCCTGAGCTTGAACGTCATGAGGAAGGGTCGTAACCGTTTTGGCTCAAGACCCATACTTCTTACTCTCTCCTCATCACTCATACCACTCAGTCCCTGTTCCCACTATTACTTGCTGTACTGTTCTGTGCTGACGCGTTCCCTGTCGGAGTGCGAGACTCGTCTGGAGGCGAGGTGGGAAAGCAGACATCACAATCCTCATCGCTGTCGTCCGTGGGGCGACAGTTGTAGCGGAGCTGTGAGCAGCTCTGTGTCCGCAGACTGATGACGGCAGCAGCGGGGACGGAAGATAATCTGGAATCGCCTCAGACGACAAGTGGGGAGCATGCCACAGTGGACGCCGTGGCGCAGACGTTGATGCAGCAAGAGGGCC